ATTGCCTACATGATCGGCGGTCACACTTTCAACGCCCAACACATACGTATGACGAGTAAATTTGGTAGTAACTATTTGCAAATGAGCCGGCAAATAATAATCATTGAATAACCATTCGATACTCATTGGCCAATCACCGCCAGCTATCGTGCATTGTATGGAAGCAGGTTCGCCAAAATTTAATGGTTCACCGCCAAATTGAAATGGTGTAATACGTGGTGGTACTAAAATGATTACGGATGATGATCGCATAGATATGGAACACATTATGAGTTATTATGAATACATACATAAATACACATAAGAAATATTATAACAAATGGCAACTACTAGCGTAGCAAGTAAGCATTTCTAACGTTTAACATAAAGCGAAAATATGTTGTTAGTTTAAAGTTCTTTGTCCTTTTTGTCGTACATTTAAGCATATTCATTCATATTCAGCAAATACCATTAACTGTTAAGTTAGTGCTATATGTTGTAAAACCGGCTGCATTTGCAGCTGTACATGTATAGATGCCGGTATGTTCACGTTTAGCACTCGATATCGATAAAATGCTCGATTTGCTGCTTATACGATTTGTACGCATTACCGGTTGCTTTGAATGTGAATGCAGATCATCGGAAGCATGTTCGAAACTCCAATGCAACTTGATGGGACGATCGCCTTTCTGAATTTGACAAAGTAAATCCACTGAATCGCCCGTATTGATTACATCGTCATAGTTAAAAGGTATTATTTGCGGTAAAACTAAAGAAAATCAAGATTAAATACACTTTTATAATATAAAGCTTGAAATTATTATTATTTTTTCAAATAATCTCAACCGCATTTTATATCATGAAAATGTTCAAAAGAAACCTTTTTTAATCAGCATCAATGTCATGCTAGCGTATTATTCAGGTCCAGAAAGTTTTCGCAATTTCTATTCCTAACCAACTATTTCAGCCATTTTTCCTTTTAAGAGGTGTTGCATGCATACTTTTCGAAGAACAAGGAAAACATATTTTCTCTCGAGTTTTTTTTTCTTTTTTGTTAACATAGTAAAAGAATTACTTCATTGACCCTTTTAAACACAAAACAAGAGCAAGATCTACGCAATACTTTACGAAAATTCAGTCGTTGAGGCATAGCTCTTGAAAACCACTTAAAACGGAACATTGTCGCGAAAATCCGTGTTAGCTTTGTGTATCTCTGCGCTATAACTCTCTTGCGATTCACTATAGCTTATGATTGAACGAAGGATTTAAAATCATTGATATTCGCATTTTTGGTAAAGCTTTCTAGGAAAAACAGACACCGTTTGGTAAAATAATGCACCCTATGTCCTGCGCTTTGGAATAGGTTGTGATCAGAGAAAAAAAAAAAGTTCATCGTTCAATCCCACGAGTCAAGGCTGTTTAGAAAAGGTCATTGAGGTCGGCTCAATGAAGTCGGCGGCTTGGTTTCGCAACTAAATTTTAGGTAAAAAGGGGACTCAAGTTTCCCGCAGTAGTAGAAGTGCTATCCACAGTAGTATTAGGAATCCTCAAAGTCTCTAGAGTTTAACTCCGCTTGACTTAAAACTTTGGGGAAATATTCTTGTAGTGTTATGCTATTAGATAAAAGAAAATTTGAAATTCAAATTTCATGTCATCCATTAAATCAAGAAACCGAGTAAACGGAAAAAACTGAATTTTTATTCTATTAAGCAGAAAACTAAAAACTATAGCGAGAACACAACCTAAACATGGATATCTGCCGTAAATTATTAAAAATGGAATTGATCAACTTTCTTTATTTTTAGAGGCGTCAACTTTCAATTCAATATAAATAGCTACGATTTCCTCCTGTTGTTGCTGTAGGACCTAAAAAAAAAAATCCAAACTAATCAAAACACTTCTCTTAAGAAGCGAAATTGAAAGCTTAACCTCCAACCTTCAGTTCAGTTGTAGCAAAAGTAATTTATCAAAAGGTTTTCACACAATAGCTCTTTATTTCAGTTTTCTTTTTCTTTTGGAAAAAAGTGAACTCTTGGACACAAAATATTTCTAATTTTCTAAAATTCAAAGAATAAGAATTCATTTTGAACGTGACACCTATTTGCGAAACAACATACTCTTAGCTGAGAATACTTGGCAACTATTGATAGCTCATATGCACTCAAAAGTGTCTCATTAGACGAAATAATAGGTCTACCGGAAAGTTCTGGCCATTTTTAGAACATAAGAAAATCTTAGTTCCCGAATATGGTCCGAAATTCTTTTGAAAACCTGAATCGAGGCCTTCCGCTATCTCCGATATTTTCAAAAAATTATTTTACCGCAACATCATCTTGACAGTAATGTAGTGGAAAGCGTGGCTTATCGGAAAGGTCGAAACAATCTATTTGAAATCTTCCACATATCAGAAACTACACCTTCACCAAACATTTTAAATAAATCTGTACATACTTCTATAGCATGTCTACCAAAGACATCAGCATAAGTGATCTTTATCACTAGCCATGGCTACACGATCGTCTCTTACCTCATATTAATTTGAATCATCTTCGTTTTAGTTGATTTGCTAGATTAGGTGTCATGTATATAGACAGTGACGAAAAGAGAGAGCCAAATATGCTTCAAATATGCGTTTGCTTATTGTAATTGATTATAACCAGAATGGAGAGAACTTTCCAATGGACCTAATGTATTAAGCTGAAGAATTATCACAAAATCTTTTTTTTCAATTTTTTTTTTACAATATTTTGGCTCAATTGTCCGCATGGGTTACTTCCCCATCTCTTACCATTTCCTCTCTTCTCTGGGATCGTCACCATATATTACCTCCTGAGTGACTGTTTATGTTCAAAAAAAAAATATATGAATCTAAACTGCAAAAGAGTGTATTATTTTAGGCATTTGAGGATAATTATTATCGAGGAATTATTTCTTGGATGCAAGTTAAAAAGACTAAATAAAGAGAGACTTTTTTTTTTTTTTCAATATGCAAAAACAAAATATATCTCAAATACCATTAACCAACAATTCGGTGGTGTAAGTGCTTTGACCGCCTTTGTTGCCGGCCACACAAGAATAATTGCCGGAATTGATGGCCTTTACCGATTCTATGGTCAATAAGTTTATGCGGTCACCAATTTTACTTGTTAAAACACCCAAGTGAGAGAATAGAGGCAGCCCGTTGTGCGTCCAACGTATCTTTAATGGTAAATCACCTTTGGCTATGTGACATGTTAACTGAACGCTATCACCCTCATTCGCTTCACTATCAAAACTAAAAGGGTGTATTAGAGGTGGGACTATGGGGGAGAATAAGAAAGCAAAAAAAGAGCAAAAGGAAAAATAATTGTAATAAAATTGTATGAAAATATTCTTGCAAACATATTGTAGCGTATAAAGCTTGATGTCATTAACCATTAACTTTAAGTTCGGCTTCGTAAGAAAATTCGCCGGCTTGATTTTTCGCATTACATTTGTAAAGTCCGCGATGTTCAGCCGTTATATAATCAATGTTTAAGGTACTTGCTTTGGTGGACATGCGACCAATAATGATTTCATAATCACCACTGCGTAGAGTTTGATTATTTAAAATCCAGGTTATATTAATGGGTAAATCACCCCTCGTAATAGAACACTGCACACCTATTGACTCGCCGGAATTAGAGGCATCATCCCCAAAAGAGAATGGTTTTATTTGAGGAGCCACTAAAACAAGCGAAGAAGCAAAGTTAGTTCTATTAAAACTTCGACTTCCCTTAATCGATTCGATAAGAAGAGCAGCTTTATATAGGTTTAAATGTGTAGGATTTTAGATAAAATTTATAAGTAGATAAAAATTAAGATAAATTTTCAATTTCACAAAGTTTCGTTTTAATCACCAACCGTTAACTTTTAATTCGGCCGATTGTTCAGTTATTCCTGCTTCATTCGTAGCTATACATTTGAAAATGCCTCGATGATTGCCTTTAATAGCGTCTATACTTAGAGAACTTAATTTCGTAGACATTTGGATTATTCGTATGCCAGCGATTTTATCCGTTATGGTCTGGCCATTCAAGGTCCAACGTAATTGTAATGGTGTATCACCTTTAAACACTGCACATTGCACCGCCGTACTGTCGCCGTAATTAGAAGGTTCATCCCCAAATGCAAAAGGCATTACTTGAGGTGGTACTACATTAGTTGAAAAAATGACTTCAATCAGGCAAGATGAAATTTTTAAGTAGCACATAACCAGTGTTATCGCCAGTTTGATTGTATTGAAAAGTATGTTGTGGCTTTTATTTATTCAGATAAGCTTAATTGTAAATTCCCACACAAGCCCTGATCTAAAACGTTTTCGAAGCCTTGCTTTTACTTATTAAGCTAAGCTGAATTGTAAATCCACCACAAGCCCAAATCTAAAACGTTTTCGAAGCCTTGCTTTTACTTATTCAGCTAAGCTGAATCATAAATCCCCCACACAAGCCCTAATCTGAAACATTTTCAAAGCCTTCCATTTACTTATTTCGCTCAGCTAAATTGCAAATCTCCCACGAGACCTGATGTGAAAGCTTTTCGGAGCCTACCTTTACTTATTCAGCTAGGCTGAATTATAATTCGCCGCCACAACTTTTGGTCTGAAACGTTTTCGAACCTTTTTTTTACTTATTCAACTAAGCTGAATTGTAAATCTCCCACAAGTCCTGATCTGTAAGCTTTTCGAAGCCTTCCCAAGGTATATATTAAAATTTTTAACTACTTAGCTTCGCTGAATTCTGCATATTTGAAATTAAAACAATATCAAATTGTCGTTCGTTAAATAAAAAAAACTCTCTACTTTATTAACGCCACAGCTCAACAACTCTCGTTCCGGAAGTTGATAGATTTACCCGCCGAAAGTTATATTTGATAGATTAAAAATGTGCAAAGAGCGTAAGCAAAATAAAACAGAACTGATATATACGTATATATATTTTTTGTTGTTGTTAAGCTTCGTTTACGATAACGTACTTAATTAGTTAAAAAAATTTCACACCAACCGTTCACTTGTAATTCGGCTGTATATTCGCTAGAACCAGCTTTATTGGAGGCTATACACTTGTAAATGCCACGATGCACGGCCATCAATGACTCAATATTTAAAGAACTTGTACGTTTATTTAAACGTACGACATTGAAATTATTTTCTCCACTGATTACAGGAGACAAATTTAAGGACCAACGTATCTCTAATGGCAAATCGCCCTTAGGTACTACACAATTGACACTAGCTATCTCACCCATATCAGCTGTATCTTCGCCAAAGCTAAAAGGTAAGACTTGTGGAGGCACTAAGGATAGATAGAAAAAAAAAAAATTACAACAAAATAATTAAATATTAAAACTACAAAAGCATTTTTAGCATTTATCTATATTTATATATACATATATATATATATAAATAGAAAAAGCAACCGTTCGACCAACCATTTACCACCAATTCTGCGCTATATTCAGCAACGCCTGCTTTGTTCGCAGCTAAACATTTGTAAAGACCTCGATGATGAGCCTCTAAAGAATCTATACTCAACGAGCTGGTGCGCGGATTCATTCGCTGCAAGGTGAACCGATGCTCACCGTTAATAACTGGTGCTGAATTTAAAGTCCAACGTATTTCTAAAGGTAAATCACCTTTAGGGACCATACAAAACACTCCCGCTATCTCGCCCATATTGGCTGTCTCGTCACCAAAGGTAAAAGGCTGAATTTGTGGAGGAACTTATCAATGGAAAGGATAAAGGAAAGAAATCTTTTATAGAAACAGAAAAACAAAACTTTTTTTGAATTTTTAATCTTAAAATACGAAAAATGGGAAAAATAAATTATTCACACCATTGACTTCCAAAACTGCTACATACTCAGAGAAACCAGCTGAATTATTCGCTATGCACTTATAACTGCCACGATGGAAGGCTTCCAATGATTCCATATTCAAAGAGCTGGTACGTTTGTTCATTTTCATAATATTAAAACCATTTTCCCCGTTAACAATTAAGGCCGAATTAAGCGTCCAGTAAATATCGATAGGTAAATCACCTTTGGTAACCATGCAAGTAACACTGGCTACTTCACCACGATTTAGAGTTTCTTCGCCGAAACCGAAAGGACTAATCTGCGGGGGCACTAACCGAAACAAAATTTTAATTTGTTAAGCTAAACATTAGAAAATCATGAGAGTCTAACTATTCGTAACCATCCCTATTGATCCGTCTATATGTCCGTGTGATGCTTCAATCTTTAAAAAAAATTATCAAAAAACTTGTACACTTCGCAATGTCCCTGCGTCAATGAGGGAAGTTTAAGTGACGAGCGGAAGCCATCCACTATACGCTGTTCTCATTTTGTGGCATCTTCCTGATCGATGTGTAGCGCGTGTACTTCACTTCAAGAAAAATTGTATGTGACGGAGATGTTTTTTCAACAAGGTAAGGTAGCATTGTTCGCAATTATCTCATGTTCAAATCCACGTGAAATGGCGATAATGAAGTTCGCTGACTAATGAAAAACTCGTTTAATCCTAGACTATATTTAGTGCAGACAATGAACGTAGAAGAAACTTGACCGAAAACTGATTTTGATAAGAAATTTTTAAGGTTAGGATGGCACATTTCAGTTCCAGCTCTACTGAACAACCAACGCGCACCAAGGCAACTTGAAAATGTACATCTTTACTTTATTTAATTAATTTATACTACACATAAGAAGAGGTGGTAAGCGCTTAGCAGCTTTTACTTATACAAAAAAAAGAGCTTAACCCACCACTCGCCTGTAATTCAGCAGCATATTCAGCTAAATCGGTTCAATTAATTGCTAAGCAACGATAGAATAACATTTAAAATGCTGATATGCGACCAGCACCACCATCTAAGTCCATAATAATTGGTTCCGAATTTAAATACCAATACATGTACGTTAAGTGGAAAATCAGCGTTCAAGAGCACACAAATAATACTTAGGATATCCCCCGCATATGATAGATTTCTAAATCAGGCCAACAGATTCTACTTAAGAAGGAACTGAGAAACGGTTATTAAATAGGATAGAAAAAATATGTAAGAAAATTTAAAAAGTAAGCATAAAAAAGAAGCGTAAATTTTTTATTGTAAACCGAACCATTAACTTTCAGATCGGCTGAATGAATAGTAAATCCCGCTTTATTATTGGCTATACACTGATAAACTCCACGATGTTTACTCTCTAGAAAATTGATATTTAGAGAACTCGTCCTAGGGTTTAAACGTAGCAAAATAAATCCGTCCTTTCCATCAACTATGGGTTGCGAATTTAAGGTCCAATGTATATTTAAGGGTAAATCACCCTTACTAGCCATACACTGAGCACCAAACATATCACCGACATTTAAGGCTTCGTCGCCAAAGGAAAATGTTATAATTTGAGGTGGTACTGCAGGAAAATTTTTTGATAAAGGAAGAGTCAAAAAAAGAAAGGTTCATAAAATACATGTAGACGATCTATTTTAATTATTTTCTTAATCCAAATACATATATAGGGTACCATTGACTTTTAGTTCGGATGTGTGGAAAGCAGATCCTGCTTTATTTTCAGCTATACATTTGAATAAGCCGCGATGATGTTGTCCCACGTTCGCTATATTTAAGATGCTAGTCTTTGGTGATAGCTTTAATATAGTAATGCCCTCTTCGCCATTAACAATGGGACGTGAGTTTAAAGTCCACTTTATATTAATGGGTATATCACCCTTTTGTATCATACATTGTAAGCCAGCATTTTCACCGGTATTAACCGGTTCTTCCCCAAAAGCGAAAGGTATAATTTGTGGAGGTACTTTAAGAGTCAAAAAAGCGAGAATAACAAGATTTGTTAATAGTTTAAAAAGCAATCGCTTAAGGATGACTGTTATGTGCTGATAACATTGGCGATAGGAGCGCCAGTCGAAACAGGAAAGGAGGAAAGAAAATAAAAATTAAAAAAAGAAGAAGTAAAATCACTATAGTGAGCAATTGCCCGCCATTATATACCCTACACCACTTTGTCTAACACAATTATTTATAAAACAACGTTTCAAAATTACTCATCATATGGAAAGTGTTCGAACACTTGATCCGTTCCGGAACATATTCGTTCGTCTGTGTACCAAATTTCATTAGAAATCTTAACAATTGCGATCTGTGGGTTGAACGCAGGCATACAAGACGGACAGGCGGACAGACAACCTTAGCGTTTAATATAGTTTGTGCCGATCTCAAATCCTTGTAGATGTTGTACACATCGCTACAAAGGTAATATATCCTTGTGCCACAAGCGGTGTAGGGTAAAAAAGAACAATTGATATCTATTCAAAAACTGAAATCGAAAAATTCCTTATTCTATACCATTTATAGCCAAAAGTGCCCAATGCTTAGTCACACCAGCACCATTGGTAGCTATGCAGCTATAATTGCCACTATGTCTTGCTCTAACGGATTCTATATTCAAAACACTAATACGAGGACTGTTGCGGGTAACTACTATGCCATCATTAGTAAATAAACGGCCACCGTTTTTCGTCCAATGTATATCCATAGGTAAATCGCCCTTGTTAACAGTGCAGTAAGCGGAAACCATATCCATTTCATTTACGATATCTTCTCCAAAGTTAAAAGGCAGCATTTGTGGTAAAACTTGAAAGGTTTGGAATTAAGGAGAAAACTAAATAAACATAATAAAAGTTGACGAATCTAAAACAAAAAAAAAAAAAAAAAATTTGTAATAACCATTAACGGCTAGCAGTGAAGACTGCTTAGTAACACCAGCATTATTAGTAGCCACACAAGTATAGTTGCCAGCATGGCGTGCTCGTACCGATTCTAAGCTCAACACACTTAGTCTAGGACTATGACGCATAATTACTAAACCATCGTTTGTATACAGCCGACCACCGTTTTTAGTCCAATATATATCCATAGGTAAATCTCCCTTATTGACAGTACAAGAAGCCGAAACCATATCCAATTCATTGATACTTTCTTCACCGAAATCAAAAGGAATGATTTGAGGTAAAACTTTTAGAAAATGAAGAGAAAAAAAAGTCGTCCAAATGATCGAAGACAAACGAAAAGTTCTTTTCAAATTTACAAATATGGTGAAAAAGTGGACAATAGCTCACCCTTGAGGGCTTGCGGTGCATGATGCAATGATCGTTTCATTATGTCGGACTTCTATTATGTAGTGAATCATTGATAGTATTGTAAGTCTTAATAAAAATATGGTGGGAAGTTATTTAATGACTGTTTAAAAATTAAAACTAAAAGATCTAAGAAATCAAAAAAAAAAAAAAAAAAAAAACAGCAACAACTATCTTTCTAACCATTAACTCTTAACAGAGTCCAATATTTGGTAACACCAGCATTATTGGTAGCGACACATGTATAATTGCCAGCATGTCTGGCTCTTACTGATTCTATAGTTAAAACACTCATGCGCAGGCTAGTTTTGGTCACCACTACACCATCATTAGTATAAATGCGGCCACCATTCTTCAACCAAGCCACGTCAAGAGGCAAGTCTCCTTTATTAACAGTGCAAGAAGCCGATACCATTTCCAATTCGTTGACACTCTCCTCGCCAAATTCAAAAGGCACTATTTGCGGCAGTACTTTACACATTTTTTTTTTTTTTTTTTTTTTTTTTTGGGTATAAAAGGACAATGCAAGGACGAGAACAATCAATTTTACTTTAATAAAAATAAAGAATTTATTTTTCAAAGTCTACTACATCGTTAAAAATATCTCTATTCGTTCACCATTAACTCTTAGTTCGGCCGTGTGATAGGCCACACCTGCTGCATTACGAGCGGCGCATGTGTAGTTGGCTCGATGACGTGCATGTACCGATTCTATACTCAACATACTAATGCGTTGTGTGGTCTTCGTTATCAGTATACCATCGTTAGTCATAAGACGGCCTACACCCCATTTAGGTTCCGGAGCTGTAGTCCAATACAATTCTAAAGGCATATCACCTTTATTTACCGTGCAAGTGGCAGAAACCATATCATTCATATTGATTATATCAGAACCGAAGTCGAAAGGTACAATTTGTGGTGGCACTAGCGAAAAAGATATGATTTTTTTTTTTTTTTTTATAAAACTTTAGCTTAGATAACTTGCGCACTAAAATGTTCAACTTTAACTTTTCCTTTCAAAAAACATAGCAGAGATCCCTTTCACCGTTAGTTTTCTTTTAGGAGTTCGCATTAGAGCCCCCATAAAGTTTCTATTAGGTACTTGCATGTATTTTGATCACTTTTTACCTTGAAAATGGCATTTATAGGGAAAAATTCTCCATCTTCTGCAACTTTTGCTCATGTCTCTGGCACAATGGCGGTATCGCCATGATAGAAGAACGATACTGGTTTGACTGGGATCCAATCGACGAACCATTTTCGCACTTCTTCAACATTTTGAATCCGCGTAGCAGTCAAGTCATACGGCATCGATCTGAACAAGCTGTAATTAGAAGGCATTATGTCTGGTGAGTACCGGCTGAACCTGCCATTGGAGTTGCAAGAGTGCACCTTTGACAACGCTTGCAACGTGTAGGCGAGCGTTGACATGCAAGAGAAAGACTTCGTATCTGTTAACCCCTGTTGTGGGTTTCTGCAACAATACATGATTCAATTTATTCAATTCTACAGTAACAGCTTCATTCGGTTTTAGCAGCTCGTAATACACTACGCCTTGCTGATCCTATCGCATGGGCCGCAAAACTCTATAGCCATGAATATTCCGCTTCGATGTCGACGTGGATGGCTCTCCTGGACTAATCTATGATCTGTGGGTCGTAGTAGACCCACTTTTCAACGCTAAGCACAATATGCCAGGAAGAATTCTTCTTTTTTTGCCTGGCAGGCAATAAAACCGCGATGTTGAAATGATTCGAAATGCCATTTTCACTCGATTCGTATGGTAGCCGTTTTCCCTTCTTATGGATCTTTCCCAATGCATGAAAACATCTAGAAACAGTTGATTCATCAGCTGCTAAGTTTTGCGAAATTTCTTTGGGAGTTTTAAGGGAGTTTTCGTCCAATAAATCTTGGAGTTCATTGTCTTTGAACTTTTTTGGTCTTCCATGTCGTTCTATGCCGTTGTTATCATTTTTAAAGCCTTGAAAGCAAAATCAACAATTGGGATAGGACGAAGCAGCATCACCATAAAGTTCTCTTCGTGGACTTGGGTGGTAGATTCTGGCGAATCAAACAGCAGAAATAATGAATGTCGAAAATGCAACTTCACGTTAATACTTGTCATTACTTTATCAATTTCACCAATATGGTTCGCTGGCCAAAATACATGCAAGCATCTATTACATTCGTGCCTAAAGAAAATTTCTGAGCGGATTAACCGTATATCTGTCCGTCGTTTTTTTTTTTTTGTGCAATGATTGGGTTAACAACATATGAAAAAAAGCTTAAGTTTGGCCATATCAACTCTGAAAACGAAAATAATTGGCTTGTAATGGTTATAAACAAAAACGCTAACATTGTAGCAGGCAATGGTCTGCGATTTAACACAACAACTTCCCAAGACGACCTAAGAAATAAATTTTGAAATAAGTCATCTGCTATGCCTACTAAGCCAAAACCAGTGGAATATTTCTTTATATTTGCGATTGCGGAGTGAACAGATGCATACTTTCTTACACTTCTTCTTTTGGGTTGCATGCCTACTTTTTCACATTTTTTTTTTTTATAACATCCTCACACATTTTGCAACATGCTCTTCAGAGTCCAAGTATATTTTATGTAATCCTGTAAAAAAGTATTGGGGATTTGAGTAAATAGGGCAGTGTAATAATCATGCGTGGGTCCTTTTAAAGATAAAATAGCGACTAAAAGAGATTTTTTCGCTCCGAACTGCAAACTCTTTCAAATAATAAGATTTCTGAAAATTTTTCAAATATGTTTTAATCATATCCTCGTTAATGTTCGCTGGGCATTAGAGACCCTACAAAGTATAAGTATATCTCCGATAACGCATAGAATTTAACTTGACTTAGCTCTAAGCATCCATCATGCGCCCAGCGAACATTAATAAAGAAAATTGCGAAACAAGTTATAACATTATAAGCGGTCAAAGGCCCAAAGTTAAATACCTTATCTAATTGCGCCAAATGAAATCATCATCATCAAACCCCGAAAGTTAAACTTTGTTAAAGATGGGCTTACTTTTGAAAGAAACCTTTATATTGGAAAGGGGTTTGAAAAATTTATCGATGTAGCCCATAAGTTTGGATATATCAAATCACTATTTTTTGGATATGAAATCACTATTTTCGAGTCACTTGTACTATAATATGTCCTACAAATTTACTGCTTAGTTTCTTTAAGAAGGTGACACGGGACGGGCGAGGGAAGTTTTGAAAAAAAGATTTCATTTCATTTCTCATTGATATATATTAAAAATGCAAAATTTATTTCATATAGTAACTTTTTAGAATAGACAGTTATACGGGAATCTGTTGGGAAACTAGTTCGGTTCAATCCATGTTCAATGAGGTTCTTTCATCAAAGTATTTCGAAAATTGTAATCTGTCGTTGGAATACATGGATGTTGAACACAGAGACAAGTGTTAGATAGGCGGATGGACAGACATGTCTAAATCTATTCAAATGGCGATTGTTAATCGATTAATGCAACGAAAAATAAGTCGACCTCAGATTCTTTTGAACGTTGTCCACATTCGCACATAGTTAGCATAGACCCTACCAGAGATGTTGTGGGTTTAACTAAAATATATGCTCAAGGTGATAAGTGAAGCCCTTGTATATTGTAAACCGAGCCGAGCCGCAATGATCAATAACGACAGTCATCGTATGGGACTAAAAAATCCCATTTGATTTGCTTTTTGCCACATGTAATGACAACTGTTTGCACAAATTTAAATATATTCCCGAAAAACGAATATTCAAATGTTAACTCAAGTACTTCAGCAAGCACTATATGATTTACAAAACCAAATATATTTGAATTTAGGTCTGACTTGAAATTATTCTCTAAAGTCCCAAAATAATTTCCATGTGTGTACTCGTTGGAAGAATACGACGTCCACCGAAAATTTAAATGTAAAGAAGTACAACATTAGAAAAAAACAAAACAAGACCATCGTTGAATCAATTCTTTCCTTTAATTATGGTTACAGTTTCAATTTTGATTTGTTTTCCTTTCAAGTCGCGCAAACATTTTCGTTCGTTATATTCAGCAAATGTCTTACAACGCTTTAGAAAATCATAAGGAATTCTTAAGGAAATTGGCTCAACCATTCGTTTCTCTAAATCTTAGAAAATTTTATCTTCGATAAAAACATATATCGAGATTTCAGAGCATATTGACAACTCATCCGCAGACAGAAGGATCTTAAAGAGCACTTATATTCTGCCAATTTATGCATTGGCTAAGCTACAAACTGATTATGAAAGCTGGTAACAGTGTTAGGAGAATATGTTGCTTTAAAAAGAATGATTCGTGAGCTCTCCCTTGAGATTCAATGCTGGGGACAATGACCAAATGGATACTTGTACAAATTTCGCTTTTTGCTTGCAAATCAGCGAACTTAATGAATAAATCATTAACTGTATGCATGATAGGAGTGTAGAAAACAGGTAGATAATTGATTTTAGAAAACTATGCACTTGTTCAGCTCTAAGTTGAACAAAGGGTTGAACATTCTCTTCCTCTATCAACCTAGCTCTCTCCTTTCTCTCACTTTTTCGCTCTCTCTATCTGTCTATCTGTTTCTCTTCCTAAATATATATATATACCTTTTCCCTCCCTTCTTTTCTATATATCTAACTACCTATCTCTTTCTCTCTCTTTACCTATCTATCTGTCTCTACCTACATACCTATGTATTTCCCTATATATATATCTCTCTCTCTCTCACTCTCTCTCTGTTTATCTCTCTCTATCTCTCTATCTCTCTCTCTCTCTCCCTCTCTTCCTCTTACTGTTTAGCTGCAAAAAAAGCCAAGATCGTCAAATCTGACCAAAGAGTTCATTGCTCAACTCAGGACTTTTTTCTTATGAACATAAAAGATAATAAATTCGATATTGGGCGAATTCAGAAACTTATAGTTTATAATACTTGAACTCCGTCGGATTCATTAAAAGACTTTGGCTGCCTTTGCTTTCTTATCCCGAAAGCAAAAAAATTTTTATACGGTACAGTGGAGCTCTTTATCCGTCCATTGAACTATTAGATTACACGCGAACGTTAAGTAATCATAAGGGCTGAAGAGCCTAGATTTCCTTAAGAACTCCTTTTTTTAAAAAAACCCCAAAGGATCACATTTGTCTAGCAATGCAATCCTACGTTAAGGAACCTTAAATGACTTACCCATAACTTGAACTTCTAAGGATCCACGTGCCGAATAGCCTTCAGCGTTTTTCGCCACACAGGTATATGTTGCCTGGTCTGAGTTGCGTTCCACATTTTCAATAATCAAGGTGCCATTAGGAAAGACTTTTTGTTTGCGATTAATGGGTAAAGCACGGTTGTCTAAAAATATTTAAAAAAAAGTCGAGGCTTTAAACTGATAACAAAGCATTCAAATACTGTTATTAAAATTTACCTCTTTCCCAAACTATCGAATCAATTGGGTAACCAGCTACAGGACAAGTCACGTAAAGCGTTTCTCCAGCTACAATAGCTTTCTTTTCCATTTGCCGAATGTAAGGTAGACCGTAAACATTTAATTTGGCCGAGTGTTCAGCAACACCTACTTTACTCTTCGCTATACATTTATAGAGGCCACCATCGTTAGCATGCACCGAAGTAATATTTAGGAATGACACAACATCACCGTTTACTGTCACATACTGTCCGACCTGATATCGTTCATTGTTGGCAATTTTTTTACCATCTAATTCCCAAGATATTTCAGGAGTAGGATTACCTCCAGCGACGCATCTTAAGAATACGCTTGGTCCGGGTTCCATAGTCTCTTCGGGGAATGTTTGGCGTATAACAGGAGGATCAAAGCGGCCGCCCAATTTCAATTCAGCACTAGCTTCAGCCGATTCCTGATCGTTACGTACAAAACACTGATACATGCCCTTGTCTTCCTTCTTAACCGATTCAATGCGCAGAACAGGATCATTGTGATCAATTGCTTTACCATCTTTTAGCCAACTGATTGTCTTAATGGGGTTACCGCTGTATTGACATGTGAAAACGGCCGGCCGTCCAAAATCTACAGTCTGAGTAGGTGGATCAATTTTCGCGGACAAAGGTGCGGTAACAGTTAAAACGGTTTCCACACTCTCACCGCCTACTGAATTATTCACAACGCAAAGATATTTTCCAGAATCTTCAACGACAGCATCTTTAATGATCAAAGTGCCTGAAACTTGTTTAACGCGATCATTTAGAACCACAGCCTGTTTACGAGTGGTGCCATCAATGAATTTATACCATCTGCAAAATAAAAAAAAGACAAAAAAAAAGTGCATGGTTAATTCAAAATTCTTCGTTTCCATATTTGAAATAGCCTCTGCAAAACGATCTAAAGTGAAATGCTGCGAATTAATTTCTTTTTTAATTTTATTTATTTTTTTTTTTTTTAATTTGAGTCAATTCTACGAATTTATCGCGTGCAACTAGCTCTTCACAAGCATTTCATTTCACATTATTTCAAGACTATTTTTTGTCAAAAAAAAAATTTTAAAAAACAAACAATAAAAAGCACCTAGAAACCTGGCAAAATCTATAGAAGACCAAATGGACTATCTTGTAGCATTTGCAACTAAACTGCTCGGCCAACACATCTCTATTAATTCTTTAAATTACCAGACCTTGGGGATGAACTACTTTCTTTGTTTATTTGTCGCATAGAAGAACACTAGTCAAACGCCGATGGAATTTTTAGCGCAACATTCCAAGTCCATCCACTTCAAAGGAGCAAGGGAACTAAAATCTTTTGTAAATATTTTACTACACCCACGCATAACTCCGCGGGAACAAATACACCTATGTGCATTCTCATCATGTCGTTGGCAGCAATCAAAAATACATTTCAAAAACAGGTATTGGTCGCACCCTGCCATTTCCATATCACCTTGGTACGTTTAAAGACGCAAGAATTAATAATACACCTAACGAGGCCAAATTTGAAAATGTGCCTAATGTGTTCACAATAGATAAAAGCGGAAATAATTTGAGTCAACGAGAACTCTTACGATATTTTTCATGATGTATTCTGCGTATCTATCTCAAATTGGAAAATCGATTTTAGACGTTCCCTAAACTTGCTGCCAATGCTGCTCTCACTATCCATGTAAAGTGATGCTCTCTGAACTCCCGATTTGTAAAAGCACTCTAATGAAGGCCAGGCCGGCGCTCTATATATCTTGCTAATAAAACATGTACAAACATTATAGTGGGCCACGGGCCATCGTTAAATATCCTCTTCGTATTCGAATAAAGACTTTTCAAAGTGAGGCCTTATACGGGAAGTGGTCGAAAACGTGGTCTAATCTGAACAATTTCCTATAGTGTTCATCCCTTTACCAAAAACACGTCAGTGTGCGAAATTTCAATAAGATGAAGAATATAGATATAGAATTACTTTCTGAATCGATATAATATAAGATGGCTTTGTTCCGCACAAACTTAATATACGCTTGTACCACAAATCATGTAGGATATAAAAATGACCTTCACAATGTCTTGTCAGCTCAGTAAGTTGATACCTAAAGAGCACATTGATGGAAGCACTCTATTTAAGAAGTGGTTGTGCTTCCAATAAATTAAATTGCGAAACCTGTGCCCGCAACTATACTATTAGAAGTAACAGAAGAAGAACCTTGAGAAATGTGTGAAAGAACCGGTCCTTCGTCTCATTTATGCCCATCAACAGTAACCGAATCAAATTAATACTGAAGGATGCGGATTTTTTCTTTCAGGAGTGGCATATGTAGTAAGTGAGCGGTTTTTTTCGAAAGCGATATAATCCTGCTTTATTTTATAGCAATTTTTTTTTAATTGCCGATAATCGTAAAACCTGAAAAACATTTATTGAGAAAAATTGGAAGACTATCTTTAAAAATTGAGTAAGACATTGAACAAAAAATAGTTTTGAACCATCTACGCCGGATATTTGAGTATGTTGCGAAATTATACCCATATATAATATTTGAAAAATTTTGTGGACCGAATTTCCCGAAGTGTTGACACGAAACAAAGTTGGGCCATTTTTGAAGAGATTGACATCTGGCAGTGAAAAGATACTCACATGCGGCAATAATATGCGTGATTCAAATTGGGTGAAAGAACACAAACGATGGCAAAGGTCGGGTTGAGGTAGTCGGGAAGATGATAAGTCATAAGATGTTTGGTGACATTGAAGGAGAACGGTTCAATAGAAGCCCAGCTAACCCCACCAGGTAACTGATGCCACTCCATACTGTCAACAACTAACACGACCGAGGTAGAATTGCAATTATCCGACAAAAATGACAAAACTTCACTTGAAAATTTTTAATCCATTCACCCTGTAGGTCTAATCTTACTTCGCCCGAGTGCCATTCATTCATATCATTCTCTTCAGTACTTTCTTACAGTGACTTCAAAAAAGTACTTTGGAAATCGTTTAGGTCGCGATTTAGTCAATGCACAATAATTTTTGATATATAACAAAAGACGGTTTGTGCGTCAGGACATTTTTCCTTGATCTAGGATTAAGTATAAATTTACCTATGCAATGGTACTGGATAAGCTTGTCCCGGACAATGCAATACGCTAGGACTACCTTGAGAAATCTCATTAATTTCTATACTTTTGAAAGCGATTTTAGGTTTAACGTGACCCATAGGTTCTAGAAATTCAAAAAGTGATTAAAATTTCAATTAAAAACATTGATCCGAAACTGCTTGAATTTGGAAGAAATTTTATTAAAAAAAAACAAACAAAATGTTATGAAAATACCTGAATATAGGCATTGGATATGACTGAGCTTGACATAACAGGGCGAAGCTGTCATGAAAATTCATAGTGTACTCCTGTAAACGATCACCGGACAATTTAGGTGCCACACTACCAATAGGTTCTAAAAATTTATTCAAAAAACACCGAGATAAACGTTAGAGTAAAGCAAAAACATTCTTCAAACCGCCTGAAAGTTGGATAATAATTTCTACCTGAAAACTGGTGTCGGATTAGATTGAGCCAAACATAAAATGACAATTGATTGCGAAGTTTCCCGTGTTAGCTCTTGTAGGCGTCCACCGGAAATTTTTGGGCTTACACTGCCCATGGGAACTAATTAAGAAGATATTTAAAAGTGTTTCATTTAATGATTATATACCACTAACCGTATTATGGGCACTGGGTAAGCTTGAGCTTGACATAAAATGGCGAAACTTTGACCGATTTCTTTGTAAAACGTAAAACTTTTTGATTCACCCGAGAACGTAGGAGGCTTAGCACCAACAGGCTCTTTAAAATAAAAAGTAGGAATTTATTACCATAGCTCACAAAAAAAATAAAATAAAAAATTTCAAATTTACTCTATTTAAATTATATTAAAAAAAAAAAAAGAAAAATCGCAACCGATTTATCTGCCACAACCTAAACTTGAGGAAAAGAGCGCTTTGCAGCAAACATTTTATATGCTTACCTCAGCAGAGGTATCGGGTATCCTTGAGCTTCACAAAAAAAAGCAAAACTTTCACCATAACGACGATATATAGTTAAACTGGCGATATAATTGGAGAAGGATGGAGCTTTAGCACCCATAGGTTCTAAAAATTACCATTTGAATAAAGATCACAGTTAAATTTCAATATGTTTTCCAAAACCAGTGGGTAGAATATCGCGAACTATTTGATCTTGCCTACGAATACAGATGTAATGCTTAAAAAATTTTCTACACCTACATATATTGACACTGCAACAACAAATATCTCTTCTGTTTCCCGATAATAAAATGCTTAAAATCGCTACAATTATGGATGGGATGTTAAGTCTGGCAAATTTCAATGTGCCATAAAAAAGTTCTCCGAGCAAAACTTAATATAACCGTTGGAGAGGCTTATAATTATCGTTATAGTATTTATGGAGAATTCACGCTGTGCTAGTTTCATTTTTTCACAGGGCATGATTTGCCCACAGTAGCTAAACAAACTTTCGCTTTATCAACCTCATATATGACATAGTGTAAAAATATTGTCCTTTCAAATATTAATTATTTTAGATAATGTCATGTTTTGTTTATAATATTTTGTAAAAAATTCTCCAAAAGTTTTATTTTAACTGTATTTTGACTTAAATCCCTCCAAGACTTCGTTTAACAGATTTCTGTTAACGGCTTAACAAAGCTCTCTCTGAAAAAAAAATAAATAAATAATGGTTCGTGTCTTTGCTAGTTACATTTAAACACGCACACCCTTTTTCACTACAATTACTACTACTAAAAATTTACAAGATTTTTACAAATACCGCAACAACAATATTACAACAAGATAAACACTGGAACTGAATAAGCACGACCTTGACATACCAATAACAAATTTTCACCTTGCTGTTACCAATCTGTTTAACTATAAAGCAATAGTTGGGACCTAAAAACCCACAATATTCTAAACGAATCTTGAGAAACGAGACCTTTAAGTGGGGCTTACAAAAAAATTAAAAATTTGTTCAAATTTTATTTTCTTTTGTCGCAAATGTCTTTCTGCGGCTTAAAATTAGTTTAAGAGGCTGCGTAAATAAGAAAAATTTTGCCCTGCTGTTCTTTATCTTTATATAAATAAAAGCTAACTGTTACCTGTACTTTGTTTGCTGAAGATGGCGTTTCAGAAATTTCTGTTAGCGTCAGTGGAGAATGCTACAGAACGGACATAATGTTTTGTGGAATAGCTTCGATTTGGTCAACATACGGTCTCAGCAAAATGGTGCAAAACCTATAATGCATTTATTGACAAAAAAGTTCAATAGCCGCGTAGTCTTCAAATGTATCTACACAAGCTAGCCGCCAAGATCATGCGATGTAACTTCGTTCGACTTTTTCTTCGTCTTAATGTTAAGTCATTGGATAGATTCAATAGATCTTTCTAAAGGATCTGGATAATTTCAATAGAAACTCTAAAGGATGTTATTTTTCAAGATTAATTTTGTTGTCGATTAAATAAAAGCGAATTTATGGAAATTCTGGAAAAATGGTTCCATGAATGAATAAAGACGTCATGAGCCGCTGTCTAAAATCTATAAAAAATTTTTTTGATGATTTTAAACGTTTTCGTTCGGTTTCAAATTAGAAAAAAATTTTATTTGATCGCCCCATAGAACACGACAAAAACGCTGCTACGGTCATCACACCCAATCAAACATTTTCGATTGTTGTGTCATCGCAAAAGAAAAAACTCAAGTGTATATTTATTTAAAAAAAAAAAAGCAAAAAACCAACGAAAGCAAATTCT